GGACTGAGCTCCTTTGTGGAACAGGTCTACCAGCTAAAGTCACATTTATCGTGAGAAATATTTGTCAGATTTCATTTTCTGGATTTACTATAATAGAAAAAAAAAAACTCCAATGGGTGTTCAGTCTTTAATCTTTTCAGTTAAAAAGAACATGAAAACTATTAACTTCTTGAAAGTAACTCCAGTGCTATTTATGTATTATTTTTGTACAAATATACACAGACTGTAAACAAATGGTGGCATTCTCCATTCTCTGTTTTGAAACTTCCATTTTTCTATTTATCTGCTACCATGTTGACTTTTACCAATTTCTTTTCTCAGTGGAAAAGAGGAGCTCCGATTATGATCAAAAAAGGATCAATCTGGGTCCAGAGTGGAGTTATGACCCTCCATGATTCCTATGGTTACCCAATGAAACTAGAAATCGGCACTCGTGTGTCCAAGTACCAGGAATGGATCAGAAACACAGTCACTGGGACACCACCAGGTTTCGTTAGCTTCACCTCTCCAGCCACGGACAGTGACTTACAATTCACCTGCAGTGGTGAAAATCTGATCCACTTCACCCCTTTCACCTCACTCTGTTTTCTTGCTGTGTTGCTCCATGCATATTTTGGATGTGGCATATAACTCAAGATCCTGTACTAAAACAATAACGTCAAATACTTATACTTATACTATACTGAGTACTTAAATGTTTACTTTTGCCCTTATGACATTTTACAACTTTGAGGTGAAGTAGTCGTTTCTATTCTATTTATGGGACAGCTTGGGTTTGTGGTTACTTTACTAATTAAATAATATTTTTGCTTCCAAAACATAACATAACATAACAGGCGCGCACACACACACACACACACACACACACACACACATACACACACACACACACATTATTTATTCTAAACATTGTACTTTTTAAACATGTGACTAAGAGTTGAAACTATATAAACATTTTGACAAACTTTTTTTGGGCAAATATGATGATTTTTTATTATTATATTCTTTATATTATATTCTTAATTACTAAATACATTCTTTATTAATCTTTTGTTAAAGTTAGATTTTCATTAATAAATAAAATGGTGAAATTTCTTTTTTCTGTTTTTGGTTGAATCTGGTTCTTGTTTGACATCCTTACATTTCTTGTTTTGACAGGATTTTGGTATACAGTTGTGCTTAATGATTAAATAAATACATAAATAAAACAACGTTTAAGCATTTCATTCCAGGCAGTAGAGAAATTTAAAAAAAAACAAAACAACAACAACGCCAACGCCAAAACCTTGAGAAATGTTTTAAAAAATAGCTTTTCTACATCCAGGAGACAGTATATGACTATATGATTCTTCAGTGCTACGATATGAACATAGCTCTGAAAAATGATCCAATGGAGTAGTGCTAGAACCAAAACACATTAACAGTTGCCTTAAGTCACTTTATATTGTATGGTAGAGACCCTATTATAATACAAACAAAACAGAGAAAAACCCAACATCATAATCAAAGGCTTCGGAGACAATGGGAAGAAAAAACTAAATTTAAACAGGAAGAAAACCACAGCAGAACCAGGCTCAAGAAGGGGTGGCAAGGGTGAGGTAAGGAAGACAGAACAGAGATATGCTGTGGAAAAGAGATTAATAATCACTAATACTAATACTACTACTACTAATAATAATGATAATAATAAAAATAATTAAATGCAGAGAGGTGTATAAACACAATGGAAAAGGTGACTGAAAAAGAAATATTCAGTGCTACATGGGAACCCCCCCAGCCTAAACATGTTGAACCTTAGTTTAGCTTACGTGTTTCCAAAATCCATGGACAGACGATCATCAACTCCATGAAGTAGCTGGGAGAGTCCATTCTGGCTCAGGCCCATTTTGACTAGAGACCGGCCCACCTGGTATTATAGGTAAAACAATAAAGCCTTCAAATGAAAACAAACACTGTTGTCACGGTGATGTACACTGTCTTGTATGGTATATATGTATCAATCTAATAAACTTAAACCTACACCATCCTTCCTATTCTGGTATTCTAAACAGTACTTAGCCAAAACCCAAAGACTGCTTGGTCGAGTAAACTTCCTGAACACATGGTGGAAACCTGAAACTAAGACAGAGAAGACTAAAGGTGAGACATGATCATTACTGAATATTAAAAAAAAAAA